AACAGTGAAGTCCTTGATGAAGTTACCACCACTGATGTGACTATCACCGATAATAGGACATTTCCTGATGGAGCAGATGAACCACACGTGAAGCAGAAGCCAACGAGACGGAGACCAGTACGGAAGAAGATACGTCCCGTACAATCAAGAGACTTTGTTGAATTTTAATTTTGTGTTTGTAACTTCTGTACATTTAATTAAGTTATTGTTAATTATCTATTTGTTTAATGTAAGTGGCTATTATTCGGGACAAATAGTACTAAGGAAGGGACAGTGTTACGAAGCAGAAGTCATGTGATGCTGGAAGCATGAGTGCTGGAGTTTCTAGAAAGATCATGACTGTTCCTGGCAACTCTAGTGTTTGCCAGACCCCCTCTATTTTTGTATATAAGCCGGCAAATAAAGCGGTGGGATAATTGCAGATAGACTGATAGGGACAGATAGTCGAGTCAAACCGTATGTAAAATGCGTGAATCGTTGTGAATTATAGCGTGTGTTGAAGTTAAAGTGATCGTGGAAATTCTGTGTATTGCAAAGTTGTATTGAGAAAGAATTAACTAGTTTTATTTAAGATAGGACGTGTATCGCTGAAGTTCTTCGGAAAGAAGTTTTACGGGAAATTAACAAACGACCACATACGCAACACTATCAATACTGATGTTGAGGTAACAAACATATATAAGTTACTTTATCAAACAACTAGTCCATCTGAGCTTAAGCGTAGATAAAAGAAAACTGTTGCAAACCTACACAAAGTTATTTAAGTAATTAGTGCTATTAGTTTATTGTATCACAGATATTCAAACCACCATCTTTACATTTATGTCTAACATTCAAAATTTCGTTTACAAAGCAACTGAACATATTTTCATTGAATCACTTATTTTCTGATTGGTAAACGTGTTGATATGTTATGCCTATTTTATAAACTCCAAATGTAAATACTGAATCGAATATGGAATAATGTACGATATGTTTCTTCCTGTGTTTACTGCAAACAATTTCAAGTACCTAGACATGCCTCTCCAGAATCTCCCTGAGCTAATTAATTGTTATCGGCCTGACATGGTCTGGTGGTTAGGGTGCTCGATTCACAACTTAGCAGTCACTGGTTCAAATTCCGTCACCAAACGTGCTCGACCTTTCATCCGTGTTTGTGCGTTATTATGTCACGGTCAATCCTACTTTTCATTAGTAATGTTTAGCTCAAAATATGGAAGTAGTTGGTGTTGACTAGTTGTTTTCCTGCTATTCTATCGCTTCAAAATTAGGAACGGCTAGCGCAGATAGTCCTCGATTAGTTTTGCGCAAAATTAAAAAAAACAACAACAAACAAACATGTGTCATGATAAAAGGATTCATAGTATGTCTCACAAACGTCTTAAAACACACACCCTTAAATATGGCAGTTATTTAAACTAATACACATTAAATCTTGAACAGAACACAAATATTACATCATTTCATTCGTCGATATGATCTCATATTAAAAGAGAAAAAAACAAGACGAGAAAAAAAAAACGTCCCTAACATGTTACAAAGTGTGAGGTTAAATAGGCGGTCAACAACCCCAAAGGTAGGAAGTAAGCTGTTTTAACAATATCGGATTTTTGGTTTTCTGTGACCTTCTAAAGAACAACTGTTTCTTTTATACACGTTTATATGACCAGAATG